CTCCGAGCGGACACCCGCCCTGCCTCTCGCCTGCCCAGGCACGACGACGCCCCTGCCTCCCCTCCTACAGGGCGCCCCGGCCCCTCCGCTCACCGCGACCCTCCGCAGCCCCGCGGACTCCTCCCTCCGCCCGCCCTCCTTTGCCCAGCCGGAGCCCCCAGTCTCCCAGTTGGCAGAGTGAAGACGCTGCTCCTCTCTAGAAAACGCCACTACCCTGACACCCTTTCCCTCCGCCTTCCTCCTCTCGCTCTAAAGCTGCTGCTGGAAGTCCCCGCCGCCTCCCTGCCCCTGGGCTCCAGGCAGGTGCAGGTCCAGGTCCCATGGGGCCCTCCTGCCCTGGTCCCCCGCCCACTCCGCATTTCCACGTTCTCCACAACCTCCGTCGAATCCCCTCCTTCCCGCGTTCTCCCGCCCCCTTTCCCATCCTTGTTTTCAGTCCTCCGCCTCCCACTGCCTCATCCTCCGCGCCTTCCTCTCGCACCTACGCTCCGCCCAACTCCGACTGCGCGCTCTGGATCCCCGCACCTCTGCCCCTGCCTGGGCTCCGAGTGCCGTACCCCATCCGCACCCTGCGCCTCTCCGCCCGCTCCCCTGCCAGGTCTCCACCCTGGGCACCTTAGGAGCCCAAGTCCACAAAGACCCCTGCCGTGGTGGCGTTGAGCTTACGTTATGAGGGGTGGGTTGGGGAGAAGCAATAGATAATAATAAACAATGAGTCACATGGGCTCTTAGAAGAGGTACTTGCTGTGGGGCAATCAGACAGGGAGGATGAGGGGCTGCGACTTGTGTTGGAGTGTCTGTTTGAGGATGACGAGGAGTACGGATCTAACCCGCGTTCTTCGGATAGCCGGCCATCTGCCGGATTGTCACTGAGGAATCATTCCTGGCCCCTGCAGAAGGCAAGTTAGAGCCGGTGCCCGGGCCTCAAAGGGCCTGGGTGGGCGTCCGGAATCTGCTGGGCCTGACGGCGTCCGCGCGCGCCTCCTCCCGGCCTCCAGGAGAACCAGCCACACTGAGCCTGGCGGCGGCTGGGGGAACGGGGGCGTGCCTGGACCAGCTCTCCAAGCTAACCAAGGAAAATGCAACCCCCAGGAAAAAACACGCAGAGGCTGTGCACACAAGATGAAGCCGGGGGCGTTATCAATATTTTCTTCTTCTTCTTTTTTTAAAAATATTTTCTTCTTAATGATATTACCGGATGTTGGCAAGGATGCCTGAGAGCCGGGTATTCACGGGCCGCGGGTGGAATGATAGTGGCTGTGTCCAACCCGTGTGCAGGAATCTCACCCAAGGCTTTTGAAAGGATTGTTACCAACCTGGAAACAACGGATACGTCCAACAATCAGGACTGGTTGGATAAATGATCACCCACCCCTGTAGTGGTACGTTGTAAAATGGACGCTGGAGAGACATTTGTAATACATTAAGAAAAAAATAGGGAATTCCCTGGTGGTCCAGTGGTTAGGACTCCGTGCTTTCACTGCCGGGGTCGGGGTTCGATCCCTGGTCGAGAACTAAAATCCCGCAAGCCACGCAGTGCGGCAAAAAAAAAAAAAAAAAAAAAAAAAAAGGCACTTTATCACCCCAATTTTCTGAATATAAAAAATATTTATCATAGACTTATCTCTAGATGGTGGAATTATTGTAGATTTTGTAATATTTTTTCATAATCAGTATTTTCTGTTTATTTTCATGACCATGAATTACCTTTTTTTGTTTGTTTTTTAGCTTGAAGGAAAGACCAATGCAAGATATATTTAAAAAGTAAGTGTAGGGGCCTCCCTGGTGGCGCAGTGGTTGAGAGTCCGCCTGCCGATGCAGGGGATACGGGATAGGAGGAGGATGGACAGAGTGTAAATAAGAAAGCCTTTGGACCATATTTCCCTAAAGCCAAGAGTGTCACCATCTCTCTGCTCCTCTTAAAAAGTATGCGCGTGGGTGTGTGTGTGGCAGGGGGGAGCTACAACTATTTTATTAGTCGTTTAATTCTACCATTTCTACAAATTTATCCAACTTCCACAAAATACTGACTTTCAAGGCAGATAAATTACAGGGAGGATCCTTTGATTACTTGCTATTTTTGTAAAATTACCCCAATAGGTATTTCCCAGTACATTTACGTATTTAGTTATATAATCATTATTCAAAAAGTAAGTGTAGGGACTTCCCTGGTGGCATAGTGGATAAGACGCTGCGCTCCCAATGCAGGGAGCCCGGGTTCTATCCCTGGTTGGGGAACTAGATCCCACATTCATGCCACAACTAAGGAGCCCATGTGCCGCAACTAAGACCCGGTGCAGCCAAATAAATAAATATTTAAAAAATAAGTGTACAGTAGTCATCCTATTTACTTTTTATCCCCATCATAATTAATGCCCCCACCCACCCACTCACTGAGTGCAGAGACTCAGAACTGGTATCAATCTGCCACTTCTGAGGGATTTCTGCTCCGTTGACACTGGTGGGAACCACTCTTGACCGACAGGAACACACCCGTCCAGCAGGATGCCAACTGTGTGAACTGGAAGGCCACTTGCCCCCAGCTGCCTTCTCCCCTTGGATTCTCCTCCTGGTGGGTGGCACTGTCATCCCGGGCTGGGCAGGCCAGTCTTCCCTCAAACACTGTTCCCCGAAAGAGACCACCCATCACTGAGCCCTTCTCTGTCCCCTTCTAGCATCTCCCATCTCCCCTCCCTTTTCTCTCCCCCGGGCTGTGGTGGTGCCCTCACCGGCCTCTCCACTCCCACTTGGGACCCCCTCCAGTCTCTTCTCCTCAGGGCACCAAGGGAGTTTTGTAAAACGACACTGACCACATTCCTCCTCTGCATAAATCCGTCCCAACCTCCTACTACCCATGATGAGCCTGGAACCCACCTGTGGCCTCAAGGTCCTGGGCCAGTAGCCTCTGCCAACCATTCTTGCCTCGTGGCCTTCCTGTCCTACTCCATCTGGGCTCGCTCCTCCTTAGCCCACCCTCTTCACCTTTCAGCTCCCTCCACGGGGCTTCCTCAGGCACCTGTCATATGCTGAGGAGCTCCTGGTCCTCTCCTAGGCAGCCCTTAGCCCCAGATTTCATGGACTCATCAGCAGG